GTTTGTAATTATGGGAATTTCAATTACAGTCGGGTGAACTCACATTTCTTATTGACTAGTGAAATGAAACCTCCATTCAAAATCTAGTATAACACTCGCTTGGTTATATTACTATTTACCGAGAACAGAGAATTATCTTTATGCATTATTCTAGAACTTATAACATAATTTCATCGTCGATAATATAAGGTCTCCCCTATTTAGTATCATCTATGTATAAAACAGTATAGATATCTTATGTAATAATTAAACTTTATCTAAATTGCAATTGGGAACAAACTTGAACGTTTGACCTCATGTTTGTCATTGATACTGGTAAATGTATTCCTTCTTACCCCCTAGACGGGGTTTGGTAACTTTGTCGGTGAATGAAGTTTTAAAATAAAATCATTTTTTCACTAAATGTACAGGGTTTCTTTGTATATTTTCACCCCCACTTATTTTCGTTAACATAAAAAAGTTTCAAATAAACATTTTTGCATTTTATCCCTACAGGAGTACTCAACACTATTTAAATATACAGAGTGTTCCATGAAAGTCACTGAAAACGTATTTTGTCGGGTACTCGCTGTATAATATTGATATCGATCGGTTACTGCATTTTTAGTGGGTACAGAGAAAACTTTTATTTGAAACTCTTTTTGTGGTGATCGAAATATACTGAAAAACCCTGTTATCTACCTGTCTCCAATCGAAATGTGCCATTGTGTAACTCGATGAACATATCTTAGGCGTAATTTGGTTAGTTGGTGGTTGGTAACGGTATTAAAAGTACTTCTCCAGTTAAATTTTCCAAACTTTGCACGCCTCATCGGTATGTTACCAGAGCACTAAATCGGTTTACATAGTATCTTCCATCGATAGAAGTGAATACGTATAGTGGCGCATTGTGGTTAGTATGCCCATTATATCAACGATCTCAATAACAACAATGTTTCAGTATAATGTGTATAAGAGTACATTTTTCTTATTGAAAGTGAAACGACAACTACGAAGTAAGGGAGGTATTAAATGACACCCTTCTTTTTTATTATTATTATTATTATTATTATGTTATTAATGATAAGTTCGTTTATGAACGTCATAATGAAACGTGTAACGTTAAATTCACGAGGCGTTTAATTATGATTCAAAATTATCAAGTGCCCATACTAGTGGATGTCATGGTAATCGCGATTGTCAATTTTGACGTTTGCTATACAATTAGTAGTAATTATCATTTGTGTGCTTTTATGAATTCATAAGAACACTAGTGCTTTTATGAAAGCCGTAATGACATCCAATTGGCCATGATAAATCTGTCATAATGACATCGAAGTAGATTCAATTATTTAATCTACGACGGGGTCATTATGACAAATTAATCTACGATGGCGTCATTATGACAAATTTATCATGGCCAATTGGATGCTTAAGTTAAAAAATTATTTTTGGTAAAGGCGACAGAAGATTATTCGTAGCAACACCTACACGTGACAAATTCTTGGTAAGCTAGCTCAAATGAGATATTGACCGAATGTATTATTTCAAAACAGTGCTTTAAACGTAATCTACACGTTTGCAGAAAAAATATCAAATCCATTCGGCTTAGAAGTCACTTTCTGCGGGTTATTTGTTTTTGCACGTCTCCTACGCTCGCCGGACCAACTAACAGATGCGCTACAATCTAAAAATAACACTATTAAGTTGGCATTTTCGTTTTATTCATATTTTGGTAATAGCAAATGCTTGTGTGTAAAGGAACTTTTAGTTGAAATTATGATTATAGTTAAACAAGGGGTAGATTAAGAGTTAGATCAGAAAATTACACAATTATCTCACATTTCCAGAATTTTCTAAACAAGAATTTAAAACGTCACTTACTCTCCAATCGTTTAATGTTCTGTACGTAACACAAGAGATAAAATCAATCGAAACACGAGATCGACTCGCAAAGGATGTGATCAGGTAACAATGAAAATTTGTTGTTCTAAAACTGAAATGAAATTTTTCTCTTTCGGGGCCTGGAGCCATTTCGAGAGAAATTTTAAGTCCGCTATTTTCGTTGGGTCTAGGCTAGACAACTAACGTTCGCATATTCGATTTTAGGTGTTGATTTAGGAAATCACTTACTTCTTGAACTACAACCCTTCGAAAATTCAATATAATCACAAATAGAGGCAGTAATTGAAGTACAAAATTACGTAAAAATCACTTATTTAATCAAATAACAGAAAAATAGAAATAAACTCGGAAATAACAATAAGAATCTAGAACAATTAAATTATATTAACAAATTTTCTAGTAGTTATCAACACTGGTGTGAAAAGAGCGGCCACAATCTGTTTTAGTTAAGTTGTACTTGTTAGTGTTGAGAATGGAAATGTCTATTATACAAATGAATTTTTGTGTTTTATCTATTGTAATGTCTGGTCTATTATTGTGGATAGTTTTGTCTGTGAGTAGTGTCATATCCCAATATAATTTATGTGTGTTGTTTTCCAGTATTATCTGTGGAGTTTAGTTGTAGTATGGTGTCTTATCTGTTGTGAGATTATGTTTAAGAGCTAATTTTTAGCTACCTGATCGTGTCGATATTATATGTTGGATTGTTTCTGATGTTTGTGAACAGAGTAGACAAGAATCATTTGTCATTGTTTTGTCTTTATGTACTAATGTGTTTTCTATAGTTGTGTGTATTAATGACCTGGTCTAGGTCTTGTATTGCTAACATGAAACCTTCAGTCTCCGGGAAGATATCACTGTCAGATAACCAAGTGTGTGTTGCTATAGGATCAACACAATCCTGGTTAACCTCTTGTGGAAAACGTCCATATAATGGCTTTTGGTTCCATGTCTGTATGTTATTTGTGATGTATGTAAGTTTAGGTGTGGGTGGGAGTATATTAGTTTCGTGTAGGTTAAGAGGTGTGTAAGATTTGTCTGCATATGTTACTGTCTTATGTAGGACTGAAGTATTATTATGATTATTGTTTTTAATTTTTTTTTTTCAAATTGGCGACAAAGGGAGCACCAATTACTAAGATTATCCGCTACCTTTATAGGTGTTTCACTTGATCATGGTAGTGAGTACTTACCTGAAACACTATTTCATTATGAATGTTTTTTTATTTTTTTTAGGTGTAACTGTGCAGCCATGAAAATATGGGAAAGGTCGAAATATAACCCAGTAGTCTCATAACTCATTGTATAAATGAATTATTTTACTAAATGTTATTTTTGTATTATTTTCTGTATTTTTATGGTATCAGTAGTATTGCTAATAATATTACAATTTTCGCGATATTCCTCAAGTTTTCAGGTTTCTAGAATGTGTGTCAGATCTAGGGGAACAGCTTTATACTGTGGGCACCTCAGCGTTTTTTTTTGTATGTTCAATTGCTATTCTAGTATCACCTTGTCTTTCTTAGGGCGCTATAGCAATGGGCCGCAAGACTTTAGGACGCAGACATTAGGACGCGGACATTGGACCGCAAGACAGTAGACATTGGGACGCCACATTAAGACGCAGACATTAGGACGCAGACATTAGGTCGCAGACAGTGGGATGCGGATATTGAGTTGCCGACATTAAAACGCAAACATCATGCAGGTTACCTTACAAAGCAGACATTAGGTTGCAAGTAGGACAATAAAAGGTAGGTGTAATGAAATTAAACCAATGTTATTTTACTTATTTAATCTGTGTAAAAAAGTTTTAATGTCAATTTATTACATACTTTTGATTCCTTCCTACAAATAATCCGTGTAAAAGTAAAAACTGTTTTTCTTTAATTACCTTACTGAACTTTTCATTCAAAAAGGCACAGGTAACTGTACTGTCCGCTCCGCTCCGCGCCTTCCCCTCCCTTCGCGACACTAACGCGGACCCCTCCTGAAACCTGAAAAAGAAGGGAGGGGCCGTGGACGTGACCCAGACGCGTCGCCCCTCAACGGTGGGCCGGGCCGTGGCGCACTGCCATCGTGGCGTTTTCGAGATTTTCGAGAAATCGCGAATTTGATGGCTCCTTCCTTTATCTTAAGTGCAACAAGGGATGAAACTACGTACGTGCGTCCTAATGCCCGCATCCCAATGTCTGCGTCCCATTGTCTGCGTTCTAATGTCCGCGTCCCAATGTCTGCGTCCTAATGTCTGCGTCCCAGTATCCGCGTCCTAATGTCCGCGTCCTTATGTCCGCGTCCCAATATCTGCGTCCTAATGTCTGCGTCCAAATGTCTGCGTCCTAATGTCCGCGTCCTAATGTCTGCGTCCCGCTTTCTTAGTTAAATTATTAGCGCACTTCGTTGCAGCAAGAGATGGACGTGTTGAGCGTGCCATGTGCGTAACTGCTAGCAGCCATAACTTCCCAATATATGAAGTTATCGAGTTCGTGCATTTACTTATATTGTCTTCATTGAGCAAGAATCCTTCTCCAGCTACATGGATAAAATGTAAGTAAGTGTAGATGATATGGATTCTGTGTACGAAGAAAAACAAATAAAGCAATACGATCGTAACTTGTTCCTAAATTGTACATAAATGTCTGAAAATGTCAAATAGTCCAGAAACGTAGTAACTCAAATCGCCTCGAGGCTTCCTAATAACTTCTAAAGCTCGTTCTAAAGGCGGTAGGTAAATATACCGTTCTACTCCAGAAATTACCTTTCCACTTCTCGCTTCCATTGAAAATTAAGTACAAGAAATTTAATAATCTTTGGTGTAATTTATTTCTCAAAAACATATATTTAGCAAACTCAAATTTCGTTCTTGAATCAGAAGTAAATAGGTATACCTATACGAAAGTTTTAAGTTCAAGATCCTGAACGGAAGGTGTCATAGAAAAACAAAGTGACGAAAAGTTCACCTTTCCAATTCGGTGTAAGCAATAAAACATCCCTGCGGTAAGGGAGAGGAGTTACGCCCTATTTAAAAAAAAACAGTGGGACATCTTTTGATTCGTTTGCGTTAAAAGCCGTAGCAGTCAGAAATTTGATTTGCAAGTACTTATAGTTAAACGTACCTTCCAATTTCCTCACAAACATCGTAAACCTCGTCAAAGAGTACCTCCTCGTCGGCCATGGCGCAAATTTTGAAATATTCCCTATTAAAAAAGTATGTCAGCAACGCATAATTTCTGGTCCATTTAACGCACAAATATAAATAAAAGTCTTATCGAGAGTAAACAAATCACGCGCCCTCGTGGGTGTCACCCTGAACATGGGGTGTTGTACGGAAAACCCTTAATCAGTACGTGGGTGAGGCAAAGTAACCTCCACATTCAAATTGTGCAAACACGTATACAACTTCGCTGTATTGGTTGCCTGCGACCAGGCGAATTATCGTATAACCCGGTGATCACTAATATGGCTGCACCACTCCTACCGCACTCTACACATTTCAATTTCGCACTAACACTGACAGCGATTAATTAAATTAGTAACAGGTTTTTTAGATTGTTATTATTTCGGTTGTGAAAAGAATGGAAAGTGTCCATGCGTAAACCACCCACGATAAATTCGTTCTAAGCAGAACAAGTGACAGTAGTCTGTATAAACGCACAAACGTCAAACCGGCGCGGCCTGCTGGAAATACAAACACTTGACATGCGCCACCAGGACCCGCGCCTTTAAATTCAATAGAATATTGAGAATAGACGAAAAAAAAATAACTCGCGAAATTTTCGCAATTTCTAATCTTCACGAGATTATTAAATGAAACACGTTTACTAGACTGAGAAATTTAATTACTTCCTTCAGAACAACGCTTTTCAGTTGTAATAAAAGCAAATAATTGAGAATTACATCATGTGTCCAATTTAATTGTAGGTATTACACGCCCATTTACACAGGATACCCATTCACAAATTATCATCATCACTTTAGACTAGATCTGCAAAATAAACATCGAATGACCTAAATCTCCTCATGATACATCCATGCTCGCCCAGAATTAAATAACAAGTTTATTATTCTCGTCTTAGTACTATTACCTTGTGAAAGTTTATTAATCCACTTAATAGTAAAAATGATGCCGTATTAGTTAAAGCAAAATTTCATAAACAAATAAGTTAAAACAGGCAACTATTGTCTACATCACAAATTCTCGTAACACACTTATAATAAACTGAGATTCCCAGTAACCGAATTAACTATCTTCTCTTCGCCGAATAATCCTAGAACTGTAACGGAATTGGGAGGAATTTGTGTTCTACCGGCATCGTGAACTAAATACGAATGTATGTTGCTAAATTCGGCTTGCTTTTGTAGCTCTTGCAGGTGTATGTGATTTTCACCTTTTAATACCACCTTCTTCTCACTAAAACGCTCTTTTAAACACAACTGTGCAATCTCTCATTATCTTACCCTTCATTAGTCCATTTATCCACAGCCTGCTCCATCGTATGGAATTCAATAAGTGTCCTATAGAGACCTAAAGATGCGTGTGCTACCTAAATAACAAAACTATTAGAAGGGACGTTTCACAAGACGCACAGCCTACCTGAGCCGCTAACTTCCCGACTCCCATATTAAGCGAAGAGTTAACTACAAAAACCATCTTATAGCTGGTTTCCGGGTCAAGCAAACCTTCAGCGGCATCTTCCTCATCACCGCTATCCACAACCTCCCCAGAAGGATTCCTTCTTGGCGATCCATCTGTGCCATCGATTTCGTACAGTTGGGTTTTAAGAAGTGACGTTAAGGGCGGCGTGGACGCTTCGTCGTTTTCGAAATTATCGAAAACATAACTGGCGGCAGCTTCTGCAGAATTATTTCCGGTATAAAAGAGAGCCTTCAATGAATCGGATTATTTTTTATAAACAACAAATTTACATACGTGTTCTGCTGCTATTTTTGCTATTCCCATCTCCATTAGCATTCTCAGTAAGTCCTCATTAGGCTTCCATTCATTTTCTACCGTTTTATCCATTATTATTAAAATAGTTGCAATAGGCTTAATCAATTAATAATTGCAACAAATGCAGTAAGTGGGTTTCATTTAACATAACCTAATTCTTTGTAACTACAACTTGTTTTTCCATTGTCAGTTAGAGATGTGGACGTGACCTTTTCTTCGATACTACTTGGTGGCATTCAGGAATATTAGTAAATAAAACAACATTTTAATAAAATAGGCTGCAATACATTAAAAGTGTATTTAAAATAGAAAATACAACATTCATGGAAATAATTATACAAACATAAAATGATAAATGGTTTTTGTTTAGTTAATGCATAATTGGTACAAAAAAATGTGTACATAACTAGAGAAGAAAGTTCACTTTGAACTCGGGTTGAAAAACTTCACTAATCTTCTGTAGTTATGTACAAATTTTCAAAAATTTGTTCAGTTTCGTCATTATGATTTAAGGGTTGAACATCCTGTATTTCACGTAGACACGTACACCTCTCTCCCTGTTTCTGTTTTTCTGTATCCATCCAATGATTTTACATACCTACTAGCGATGTAATTTTACTTACATTACTTGTATACAACCATGAAATGACAAATTAATTACAAAACAATACATACAATTCTTATGAAATAAAATAAGTTAGTAATAAGCATGAAAATCTCCAAGAAAACGGCATTGAAGAGGAGAGCACCGACTGACAAAAAACACAAAAGGAAAAAGAAGTTGCGAAGAGTCTCAACTTCGTCATCATCAAGTGAATCGTCTAGTTCCAGCTCAACGTCTCGTAGTTCATCAAATTCGTCAACTAGCAGCAGTTCGAGTAGTAGCAGCAGCAGTACTAGCTACAGTTCTTCGTCGGATGACAAAAGAAGAAAGGGCAAAGTGCTAAAAAAGAAATCTTTTAAGAAACCTCAAGTTGCGAAGAGTAAAAAGTTAAAAGCCAAGCAGGAGGTCTCGACAGATGTGCCGTTGCATCTAATGGAGAAATCCAAAGCGATGGCGCCCATGACCAAGGAACAATGGGAGAAGCAACAAAGTGTTGTACGTAAAGTTTACGATGAGAGTACGGGCAGGCATCGGTACATTGTAGCTATAGTTCACAATGAAAGTATAATTACCTTCATTATTTTCAGATTAATTAAAGGTGATGGTGAAGTAATTGAGGAAATTGTCAGCAAAGAAAGACATATAAATATTAATAAGACTGCAACGAAAGGAGATGGGCAACATTTTCAAAGGACTACTTTGTTTACAAAACGTTAATAATCAAATTTCAGTAGCTACTGGTACTATTAAAATATATCCTTTGGCTACATCACCGCTATTGAAGAGTCTTATGATGTTAGGTTGAACCTTTTGCAACACTAAAAATTAAGCAAACCCACCCAATGAGGTCTGCTTTTTGTACCTCCCATTAACTTCATTCATGTGATTGTTGATACAATTGTTAGTAGTATCAAGTACTGAATAAATTTATTGGGAAATGAAAAATAGAACTTAAAAGACTAATTCTAAATGAAATCGAATTAGCAAAATCTATTGCATTATACATTTTTGTGCACTAAGAATACAATTCATAATGTAACTATAATTAGTATAGGTGCTAGGCATTGTATTTTCATTGTCCATTGCCTGTAATGCCTAGGAGGATTTTAATAATTGTATGTTCTTAAAAATTATAATTTTGCTAATGCAAATCCTATGTTTGAGGTGTTTTAATTACATATTACGAAAAGAGATTGAATTGAAAGAAGCAGGAATTGTTATATGCATGACTTATTAAATGAATGATTTGAATACAATGTTTATATTAATATATTATTAGCAAAACATATTTCTTTCACTCCCGCTGTTCCATAGAATGTCGGGTCAAAAAAGTTTGGAAGGAAATCTCCCTTTGCACCTCTTTCAACAAGCGACATTTCAAAATTCAGATGTTTTACTTATTTTGCCCCGATTTTGAATCACATTATCTACATAAAAAGTTGGTTTGGATCGGAAACTAATGATTTTGTCAAAAAAATAAGTAGCCTAGACCATTAGCAAAATTCCTACTCCAAAATTGTGATATTTTTAGATGATTTTGATGATAATTTCTTTTTCAAAAGTTATATGAAAAACCTACAAGTTTTGTTCTATTCTATTTGTACCCCAAATTTTGCCGAGATCAGAATTATTTTACACTTCCATATAGGGGTCACCGTTATATGGAAGAAATTTTAGAAACATTTTTATTCAAGCATAAACAGTTTACCTCAGCAACTCAGTCACACTCACTCAATATCAAGTACAAATTCTGTAACAATCAAAACGTTTATACAACTGAACAAAAATCAGTTGTTTTGCACATAATTATATGGTAGACCAAAGTAAATATAACACACTTTACTCTTAGCAACTTTTACCTATTATAGTACAAATTATATACATAAATATAAATAACTTTGTAATTGTAATTAAAACAATTGAATAAAAAATGTTGTTGAGCCATCTCTCCAGGAAGGGTCATCCACAATTTTCGCCCGACACAATGGACAAGTCTGTTCTCTATCAAACCAAGTACTAACACAACTTTCACAAAATATATGGCGGCATTGTAACAATATTGGAGTGTTGTACTCATCATGGCAAATTGGACAATGATTTCCTGCTGTTTGTATTTGATCTTTACTGGGGAATGATCCGAGGGTCTGAAAAAAAAATTATAAAATATCCATCCAACTAATTTCCTTTTCTCCTCCTATTTATGCCAAAGTGCATTGCAAACAGAACACCAATGAATTTTTAAGATGAAAGCAAAATACGGCTGTCTAAACTAATATTAAGTAAGTTACAAGTCTGTGTAAATAAAACATTACCGACATTAATAGAAAAAAAACAAGAAATCACTTACCACATTTTGTAAAACCTTCAGAACAGCAGTCTTAAAAAGTCGTAACCGGGACATTAAATCAGTACCTTTTGAAACCATATAAGCTGCAGATAAAAAGACTCCTACTATCTTTTCTGCCCCTTGGTACGACTCCAGTAAATAATACAGCCATGGTTGAATTGTTGCCAAACTGCGGTAAAGTTGAGAAACTGCCTCAATTAGTAAGTACACCTTCCCCTAAATATGTAGTAGACTACTGTAAATGGTCCGTACGCGTAAATTTGATACTCACCCTGCGTTGAAAAGGAACAACCCAGACTGGCAACATAGTAACACATATTTTAAATATTATTGTAATTAATTTTAGAATAAAGTCCGTAATACCAGCTGTCCAAAGTAAAGCCCACACAGTCGTAGCTTGTTTGTACTGTGGTATAAAAATGAGATTCAAATAAAGCTTTTCGTCCTCGAAGACATACGCGATGAAAGAAAAGCAGACCACAATATAAAAAAGTGCAACAAACAGTTTTGTAAAACTCCTCCTCGCTTGGGCAGTTGCTTCCCTTTTTACGACGGAATTAGAGTGCACAAATGTAGCAAAAAGTATGGCCAAATCGAATATTCCCTCGCAGTGATCGTATAAACCTTTTGCTAATAAAATTAACAAAAATGGTAAATACTTCTGTAGAAGCTCTAACGATTGCTGTATCTCTCTGACATTGTGTATTGCGTCATTTGACGGAGGATCGCCTGCGTTATTTTCCACATTATTATTAGGAAGGGCGGCGTTTAGTAGGGCGGCAGCTTGATAATTAGAATGGCCTATATCTGGATTTGACACAATAGGACGGTTAGCAACTAAATTCTCTAAGTTAATTACTACACTATCGCCGGGCTGACTTGGATTACTATTGACCGAAGCAGGCTCTGCATTCGTCGGTCTATTTAAAATATTTGACAGCAATATTCCTCTATTTTCAACATGATGTTGAAACTCTCTTATAACATCATTGAGCAGTATTGTACCATCGACTGCACGTCGTGGCATATTTACATTCAATGGATTTTCTGTAGTATGCACTAGAGATGTGTACAGACTTGATGGTACTGATCCAGATGAGCTACTTTGATGAGGATGAGGATTTTGTTCCATGCTATCGGAATAACTGTTAGCCATCCTGTACAAAAAATAGTTGCATCATTATTACCTATGGTACTTAAACACCTTTCATGGTTGTATGCACATATTAACAATTACTTATTAATATACCTACTTTCCCAATGTCATCAAAAAATAGAATGAGACTCAAAACACAACAACCAGAAATGAACACATTTGAATTATATGTAAAAAATATGTTTACAACAAAGGGAACTTTAAATCAATAAAAAAATGTACTTTAATAATTGAGTCAGTGTGTTTTTAAATGTCGTAGAGATAAAACGATAAATAGAAATGAAAAGTAATTAAGTAAGGTTAGAGCAGATACCACAGAGTGTCTAAATTTTGATATTCGGTGTTGCCGTTTTTATACAGAGTGTATCAATCAAAAAGAATAAATTCCATAAACAAATGCAGCCTGTTCAAACAAACATGTCGGATGTTGTTTATAAAAGTTGTAAAAGTCTATTGGGCTTAGATATAATAATTTTCTTTTTTTTTTCTGGAACACTAATTTCCTTTCAGCTTATTTCCACAATTAAGCGAACATTAATTACTCTCGAAAGCGTTTAGATATCCGTGCATTGTAAGTAAGCTCTTTCTGGATCTTTCTAGTACAGGTATACTTTTCGAGAGCCTCCTAGGAGTTTCTCTGTGTGTCCTGATACAAGAAAAATGCGCTTAAGGTATTAGATCTATTAGATCTAGCTTTATCCATTTTCTGGAGCTGCGAGCTTGCAACTGCAGTTTTCAGGATTAGAGGAGGACCTTATGTAAAGCTAATATTTATGTTAAAGAATCTTTACTACATAATTACCAAATAAGTTTTCTAATTAAGATGCGACACATTAGAGCACACCATTAAGGGCGCGCTATCAGTATTGTGTGTTGCCTATCTCACAATAGCTTTCTTATGGGAAACATGCCTAACGTAATTCATACCGTTTTTAAAAACTATACATTTTTTTTGGGAAATGTTTGTTGTTTATTCTTGTTCTTAAATGTATGTAAATTATGAGTGAACAGTTTATATTGCATTAAAACTCATAGTACATTCTCTGAAAGCGTATAAAGTAGACGTTCCGTTGCAATGACAAGTAGAACAGTTTAAAAACACCCTTATATCTCAAGCAAAGACGAATGTATGCGAGTGTTCGCGACCTAACGAAATAGGGATCGCGGATTTGGGATGGCAGCACAAAGCGACGAATATTTCAAAAATACTTCTTAGTCACGGACCTCTTTTAAGAGGTCCGTGTTCTTAGTTCACACCATGGGGTGCAAACGCAGCCTTAAAAATTTAGAATGATTTAACAAATCCATTTAATTTATATCGCGTAATCTTAAAAAACAAATGTTTCCATTATTTCAAGATAGAAAACAGATAAAACTCAGAACTACCATTTCTAGTTAAAAGGTATCCATTTCAAAATACATTCTGCCCAATGTTTTGATACACTGTATAAATGTCAAACTTTGTACGCGCATAATTAACCACTTCCGTTTTGTACACAAAACTGAACGACGTAACAAGAGCCACGTCTTTCTCTGTGTGATCTGTGAGGCTGAGGAGCAATTTTCTTGTCAAAATTTGTCATGTACTAAAAGGAAATATTAAAAAACAAAGTAAAACATGGCTTTAAGAATATTAAAACACGCTGTTTCTAATCAACGTCTTTTAATACCGTAATTCCAACATGGGGATATTGTTTGAATGTTATATAAACCATTTTTTAGGTTACAACATTCACAATGTGCAAAGAAGGCATATTCAGACTGGGAAAATCGAGTAAATGTTCCTTCCAAAGAAAAAGTAACAGATATGCCGTCAATGGACCAACCCGTACCTGGACTACCTACACCCATCTATGCAACGCTTAAAGAGGAACATCAAAAAACGCAAGTGACCCAACTTTCAAATGGAATACGGGTGGCTTCGGAAAATCGATTTGGAGAGTTTTCTACAGTGGGAGGTAACATTTTTGCATATTTTGTAAGAGTATAATTGCATTTTCATTATTATAGTTGTTGTTGATTCGGGGTCAAGGTACGAAGTCGCTTACCCAAGTGGAATCTCGCATTTTCTGGAAAAACTTGCATTTAATGTAGGTTTCTTTTTGTAACATTGGCAGTAAGTAACACTGCCCAGAGTTTTTTGAACTCTTGGTCAGTGCTACTTCTATTTTTAACATCATTATTGGTTCAAGTTTAATTGATTTTATTGTAGTCAACAATTGCCTATCCTGATAAAGATGTTATGATGAATGAATTGGAAAGTCAGGGAGGTATTTGCGACAGCCAAGGATCTAGAGACACTTTTATATACGCAACATCGGCTTACACAAGTGGATTAAACGATGTGGTGAAATTATTAGGTGAAGTGGTTTTACGACCGCAAATTACCAATGAGGAAGTTGAAGCAGCTCGTCAAGCCATCAGTTTTGAATTGGAAATGTTGGGGATGAGGCCCGAACAAGAAACACTCCTATTAGATTTAATACACATGGTAATACCTACATCGTAATGTGGGCTGCTAAAATTATCTTACAGAGTGCTTATCGTGACAACACTTTAGGCTTGCCTAAATTGTGTCCGCCGAACAACTTACAAAAAATAAATCGTGATATGTTATTTAATTACTTAAACAGGCATCATTCGCCTCAACGTATGGTGGTTGCTGGAGTTGGGGTAGAGCATAATAGATTAGTTGAAGCGGTACAGAAGTATTTTGTAGATGTAAAACCCATCTGGGAGACTGAAAAGGACATGCATTCGTACACTTCATCTGTCGATAAAAGTATATCGCAATATACTGGAGGAATTGTGCAGGTAATTTTTTTGCAAATTCACTTGTTCTATAGTTGGTGTTGTGCCTTGAATTTCTGGTCCTGGGCACTTTTCTGTCTTGTTATGGTGTGTGAACGGCGAGCTTGGAGATTCAATGTTGCACCCTAATAATAATAACATCTGTGTTTTAGGAAGAATGTGATATTCCACAGTTTGCATCGGCCGGACTACCAGTTTTATCTCATGTGATGCTAGCGCTAGAGGGATGCTCACATCAAGACAATGATTTTATACCAATGTGCGTTTTGAATATGATGATGGGTGGCGGAGGATCTTTCAGTGCAGGTGGGCCTGGCAAAGGGATGTATACTCGATTGTACACGAATGTTTTAAATCGTTATCATTGGATGTATAGTGCCACAGCGTATAATCATTCATACGTAGACTCAGGGTTGTTTTGTATACACGCAAGTGCTCCTCCTACTCATGTTCGCGAATTAGTAGAAGTTATAGTTAGAGAGATGGTTGCAATGGCTGGCTCGATCTCGGAACAAGAATTGAGGGTGAGTTTTACTACATTTTACTATGGTAGTTTACTATGTGTTTTTAGAGAGCAAAGACACAACTGCAGTCAATGTTGTTAATGAACCTAGAGTCACGACCTGTTGTCTTTGAAGATATAGGAAGACAAGTATTAGCCACCGGGCATCGGAAACGACCAGAATATTTTATAAGCGAGATAGAAAAGGTTAACAAAGATGATATAGTGGCAGTCGCGAAAAGATTGTTAAACTCTCAGCCGTCAGTTGCAGCAAGGGGCGATCTACGAAAGTTGCCATCTCTAGATTATATACAGCAAGGTTTTGTTGACAGTGAAGGTAGAATGCCTGGAAAATTATCATTGTTTAGATAAATCTTTATAATAAAGTATTGTAAATATATCTGTTTCTGGAAATGATTCTCGAAATTGACGCTGAACCTGCAGTATTTTGTTTATAATCATAAGCTCTTCAAATTTCTTGTAAATTAAAATGATTGTTTCTATATTTTGTTAATTTTGTTTTATACAATGTAACTCAGGGCTGCTTCTACAATGGGGGTTTACAGTATAGTTGAATTCCGCAGTTCTAATTTAATAAGCGTGTACCTGAAACCATAAAACATTTTTTTGAACAGTAAAAGTTTATTTAAAAATAGAGGCTGATTAGCAAAAAAATAATGAACATGTGCGGTTTTAAAGGTTTATTCAAAACGATATGATTGTGGCGGGCTCTGTGACGTAATAAGCCCGACCAATCAGCTCCTAGAACCATTCAGATGACATAACGACTTGGCAATATTGCAGGAGAATGGCATTTATAACTTGCGTCATCTGTCACAGGCACTTGTCACTTTCGTGCTAGATGCAGTTAAACATCCCTCTCAAAACGTCAAATGTGACAAACGTCAGACCCTCGCGTAAGGTTGCCAGCTCACTTCTACGTGATTGGTTGTAGGTTTGTGACGTATTTAGTCTGAAGCGTTTCAAATTCGGACTAAAAACACAGCTTTTCAATAATTTTTTTTTGGGTTTATTTTACTCGCAAATAAAAATTGAGGACACACGGGTCTTTTTATTTTTAATGTACTTTGTGGATCAGAAATAAAAAATGAAGGCGGGATGAGCCCATTACTCCTTTATGCAGAATAGGATACTCTTGGATTGGAAAAGCTGCCCTAGCAACATGTATCCCATTGGTTGATGCAATGGTAACCAAGGCATTCTAGATATACAAGCTGTTTCACGCAAACCGTTGGCTAAAAGTATTCAGACTCTCATTGATAATTTAAATCTTAAAATTTGTTACCAACATAGTTTTTCATAATCTTATGGAAAGAAAATATCATGATCGTTTCACTTTCAGTTTTACCAGAATGTAGATAGGAATTTTCTTATTTTAAATAGAACACCCTGTATTTTATCGCATTTTCGAAATCTACATGAAAATCTACGTCGTTTGATACCACATTTTCAAGTTATTCAAATGCTTAATTTTCTTAGGACATGTATTTCGATTTTGTACAAATCAAATCAAAAAACCGACTTTCTATCTTACGGTTTACGAGATCGCTAATGTGAATGAAACACCCTGTATATAGACACTAATACCATTTATTTGTGGGATGGGAGACACAGCGAGGATTGTGAATGGATGACAGACGAGACACAACTTGTGCACTATTTTCTTTCTGTCAGACTGGTGACAGTTCACAGTTGTTTTAATTATTATCAAAACATACGGAAATTCTTTCATCAAACAAAAGAAATTTCGTTTACGGAAACCGTGAAATGGCAGCATCCACATCTTCAGCTGCCTCCTCTTCATCTTCCTCACAACCAGTATGTTCCTGCACTAATTACTTTGTGACAATTAATTATTTCGTATTGCAGACTGTCCAAGAATACAGCATAAGGGTACCGAAATGTTCACAAAAACGTTACCACGTTATGAGATTCAATGCAACTTTAGACGTGGACATATCGAAATGGACCCAAGTAAAGATGGAACGTGAGAATAACATGAAGGAATATAAAGGACTTGAGGAGGAACAGCCAAAGTTTGTATCAGTATTGGGACTCGTTATGTTAATATAGTACGTAAATTTAGATTTGGTGCAGGTTCCGAATTCGGAAGGGAAGCCCGTGAGGAAGCAAGGCGGAAGAAGTTGGGAATTATGCAAAGGAAATATAAGCCGGACGATCAGCCCTGGATATTGAAGTCCTGTAGCAGTACTGTAAAAAAATTTAAAGGTACGAGTTACACGAGATGTGATGATACATCATGAATTGTGATTGTAGGTATACGTGAAGGAGGAGTTTCTGAAAATGCAGCCTATTACGTTTTTACTCACGCTGCTGATGGTGCCATCGAAGCATTTCCTTTACAAGAATGGTGGGTATTGTCGTAGCGTAAAGAATAGAATAATGAGAGAACTTCGAAATACTTTTGGAGAACACTTATTGATGTTGCAATCATGTCATGTTTAAAGTTGTTGATAAAAAACCAGTTTCCCTTTTAACTTCATTGTAGTATTCAATGTTCGTGCACTATATAAATTTGTATCAATAATTGAAGTAATAATAAAATAAAGGCCATATGCTATCTATAGAACTGTCAATTGCACAGCTTGGGGAAAGCGATTTTGTTAACAAAAGAGGGCAAGAGAAATCACTGTAAATTATTTTCAAGTTTCTAGGTTTTCCGCTAGAGGGATTGGGATTGATGGTGAAGAAGATAAATTATTTTTTCCTAAAATTCATAAAAATACATGCATCACAATTTTGTGTAAAATTTGCATCATTTCGATGCAGCATATATTTCGCTAGCCCATAAAATATGAGGGGTGGGGGAAGGGGAAAATCCCTTTAAGGAATTGAATGTAACTTCGGTTTAGATTAACAGATATTAACATAATTGGTCTTATTGAAAAGAGCTCTCTTCCTGTAACCAAGTTTTACATAGATGATAGAGTAGGTATTTTTAATAAACGTGATGAATGATAGAGGGCGCCGTTTGTCATTAACATAAACTGCAGGTTTTCTTGAAAATTTCAAATGGAACGATATAATTTTAATTATTGTATATTATTAAATAAGATGAAAAAGTGGAAGTATCGGTGAAAACCCCATTTTGATATCTGTTTCCTAAGCATGGCGAAAATACGCACATTGACAAATTTAAATTGCAATATTTATATTAATCTAAGTTGCAGTTGTATCAATAAAACAATAAAAATCTGTTACATGCAGAGAATGAAATACAGGGTGTCCATTGTGATATCGGCCCATATCTCATGACACGGTGATGCTACAAAAAATAAAATATAAAATCGTTTCTTGGCTTAACATAGAACAGATTGCACTTAAAATTTTGCATAGGTACTTTTTGTATCGTTCCTACAAAAACTAAATCTTTTGTAGGTGATTTATGCACGTGTACACTGACTTTAGGATCTTTCAAAAATTGCTCACTATTCTACAGGGTGTTTGCAATACTGTAAGACCAGAGACTTGAAATAACACATTTCCATGGTTGATTAAACAAATATTGTTTTTAATTGAAGTGTGAGTATTTCAGATGATTTTAAGGGTAAAATTAGATATATGTTTGTTTCAAGTTTTTGGCTTTGGATCCTAAAGTATGTGTAAGCTTGCTCTAAACGCTTACCAAAAATTTACCTTTGTTGAACAATCAAAGTATGCAAGGTTAGTGTTTCCAAGTGCATTACTACAATTTGGTTATGGAGGTATGGACGTTAAAATAGTTCTGTTCTTTGTGATGTTTTAATGAAAGGATTTGAATTCCATTGATTCTGGTCCCACCCGATCCCCTATCGAAATTATTTATAATTCCTCATGTCTCTCAAGAACACAATGGCAGGATAGTGTACTCACAAAACGAAAAAGTAATGTCCACAAAAAATGTAGCCAACAATGTGTGTTTCTTTATACAGGTCGTTTCATTATTCTATTCTTTACAGTATGATATTGTGTGCGGTATTCACTCTACGCAAAAAATTGCAGGTACAAATTTCAACCCATTCAACGATATAAAGCATTATCGGCGGAAGAAGCGGAGCAAGAATTTAGTAAACGAAACAAGCACTTGAATTTCTTTACTCTCATGTTGCGAAAACGTCTTAAGGGCGACGAAGAAGCCGAATTAGATGAAGGAGAGGAGACAAAGAAGAATTCTGGCAAGAAAACTAAGGAATTAAAAATATCAGATATGGACGAGTGGATGGACAGCTCTGAGGACGAATCGTCTGAAGGGGAAGGTGAAAAAGACGAGGAGGAAAAAGAAGAAAAGAAGAAAAAGGCTAAAAAAGGTAAACAGTCAGATTAATTTTGTTAATGCTCGAGTGATTGTTTAGCTGCCGATGACAAAAAGAAGAAGAAAAGGGATACCGATTTGGAAGCAGTTGAGGAGTCGGATGATGGCGATGGTGAAGGCAGGGAACTGGATTACATTAGCGACAGTAGTGAGAGTGAGCCAGAAACCACCAATATTGCAGGTGTTGCTGAGGAAAAAGCTCTTAGGTTAGTGCCGTGGTTGCTTATGTTATTTACATGATGCGTATTGCAGAAAATTGTTAACATCTGATGAGGAGGATTCAGAAAATGATGAGTTCAAGTCAGACAAAGAGCAAAGTAATGAAGAAGAGGAAAATGAGAAGAAGGAGGAGAAACCTGACGATAATAAAGAGAAGGATAAGAAAAAGAAAAAACCTAAGGGCAAGGATAATAAGAAGGAGGTGAAGAAAGAGAAACCTGGTAAGTGAATAGATTGTTCCATGTGATGTTTTTTGGTTTTATGACACTTTTTATAACTTTCCAGATATAAGCAGTGACTTTAGTTCAGATAGTAGCACAGATGAAGATGTTAAGAAACAAAAAGTGGACAAGAAATCTAAGAAAGATAAAGAAGAAAAAGAACCAAACAGGTAGATAACTGAGGTGTCTTATATTCGTATCTATGAAACATAACCATCATTTCAGCTCAAACAGTTCCAGATCGGGCACTCCAACTGACAGCAAACGTAAAATAATTAATGACGCATTAGTTGGACCTTCCAGTAAGAAAGCTAAGCTAGAACCATCTTTGAGTTCCATTGCCGGATTAGCGTAATATAGTCCACATCGAGCGGGATGTTTTCATCTTTTTACTGTTTTAGTGAGTCCGGCATTACAGAGGATGCAGTGAGGAAGTATTTAATGCGCAAACCTATGACAACAACTGAACTATTGCAAAAGTTTAAATCAAAGAAGACTGGTCTTTCAAGCGATCAACTGGTTAATATTATGACCCAAATACTCAAGAAAATTAACCCCATTAAGCAGACTCTGAAGGGAAAAATGTATTTATCATTGAAGTCTTAGAGTAGTTTTTAAATTACATGTTTTGTTATTACTTAATCTTTAACAATAAAAATGATTTTTATAGTCGAATGGTTTGCAGAGTTTTGATATGATACAATGAGAAAAAGGAAAAGCGGTTGTACTCACTAAAGCATATTTTTCAAATGGATGAGCATGTATAATGTATTTTGAGTGTGTGTAATTATTTTTATTACAAAAGTTTAAAAGACCTTGAGATTTAACCTTGGGAGCTTTACATATATTCTTTTTAATGTCTAGTATTATGTTGAAATCTACTAAGCGAATGCTGGAGCAGTACTCTTCCCTCTTAGCACTCCGTTCCCCTAGTTCCCATCATTACATTCCTGTTCTCTGGCTGAAGAGGGTCAGGAGCTTTGAGCAGCCCGCCTCTGGTATCCCTCGGAGTGTCAGACGAATGAAACACGTTGACCTTTTTTTTCTGAACCCTCCAGATAAGGGAATGTGCTTCCACAGAGACTGGATCAAATTCTTTCTTTGTACTGCACATGCCAAAACCTAACGAATAAAAAATGTAGCTGGGTTAATTATCGAGATCTCAAGTCGTCGGGCAAATGGTCAATGACCATACACATCAGCACAGATTAACTTAATCTGTGACATCAGTCTGGTCATACACATGGGATCATGGTGTAGCATGTGTTGCCTAATCACATGAAGATTCAACGCGCAAACAAAATAATTTAAACAATTAGATTTGTTGCATTTTGTAAGAACCATATTTTAGGGTAGTCCTTAATAACGAAAAAGTAAAATGTCAACGCAACCCCTATTTGATAAATGCGGCATTCAACCCCAATCGCCAACCGGAGTGTTCGGAGATCCAGGAGAGCTTAGGGCCAGCTCGGGGCTAACGCCCCCCAGTGAGTTACTTAATTAAATGGCGAGGATCGCGGTTAAGCAATCGCGATGTTTGTTTACATGACCCTTCGCGGAAGACGACCAGTCATACTGAATGCTGCCATGCCAACCCCTTATACGTAGATTACAGAGGGACGTTTCTAATGAAAGGTTACAGTAGATTTGTCGCATCTTAATAATGAGTTCTGACCAACAATTAGCTCCCATTTAATTAGTGATTTCCCTTGTTGTTATAAAAAATACCCCTCATCACAATTTGTTATTTTTATTCGTTCGACCAACACCTTATTAAAAGTCCTTTATTTGATACAAACGAAACTCATTAAATGCAGCATGACACAGTTTAAAAAACATCATTTTTTCATTTAGTGGTCTGGTGCGTTGTCCACTCAAATTCTTCGTCATGTGGTCAGCGATATTTCTATCCGTAAAGTCACCAATGTTATTTTTCCTTGCTTGTAATCATTGGTCGAACCTATCAGTTTCTTCATAGCTCCCGGGTTGTCTTATGTTGATGATCCAAGGCAGAGCCGGATTTACAGGTTGCGGGGCCTCCAATCACGAGGCAAGGATGTGGCCCCTATCTCTACACGGAAGTTTACAAAAGGTTTAGTAAACGTTATCCTCACAGAACAATATTTATGGTTATACTTCAAGCTTCTTCAAGAGTCTAGGGAATGCAATACCGGGATCGCGGGATCCCGAAATACCAGGATCCCGCAGCATTTTTGCGGGATTAATCCCGCACATAAATGGAGCGGGATCCCGCTGGATTTGCGGGACTGAGGAATTTTTCGACCAAGGGGACGACTCTGTTAATGAATGTTAATGAAACGCATAACAGAGAAGTTATTTTTTAAATAATTGTTAAACTTTTTTCGTTAAAAATGTACTATGATTTTTGAGGCACTTTAGAAGTTCACCTTTTTACAGGTGAGGTTTTTTGAGTTCTAAGTTAGGTCGAAGGTGATAATTAGCGATTTATTTTAATACAGAAGTTAACCGCACAGAATTGCTTATTTGCCAATTTATTTAAAGTTTTTCGGGATCCGCAAATACCGAGATCCCGCGGGATTAACATCCCGGGATTGAGATTTTGCTGCGGGATTGCATTCCCTATTCAAGACATATTACATAATTACATAATATATGTTTATTTCTCAATATAATAACATGTAGTACAATAAAAAAGAAAATTAAACTTGTAAATAAATCATATTGGGAAATATTAGGGGTCCCATAGACAAACGTCCGTGGTGAGACCTCCCTCATGTATTGCATATTATATACCCGCGAAAAGAGAATTAGAGCCATCAGTCATTCATAATAAGAAAAACAAACAATATAATAGTAAAGAATGAAGCTGAAAAAGATTACGGATTACATTTAGCAGTCTTTAAAATTTGAGTAGAGCTGAGAATAAAATAACTTGTAAACTATGATCATAAAATAACATAAAAATAATTTCAGAGAATCCAAAAAGAAAAGCATATATAAAGCATAAAAAAATCATGAGAAATATTTACGAAACCACATAAAAACTAAGCCGCAAAACTAAAAAAATCATTCTCAATGTTTTCAGTAGCCAACAATAGTTTTTTAAGTTGCAATAAAAATACATTAAGATTACTTTTGTTGTCAATTTTAGTAGAAACGAGATTGTAAAGTCGTGGTGCATTACAGGAATAAAATTGTTGATGCAGAGTTAATTTTGAACGAGGAACTGTAGCTGGTAAAGTATGTCTTAGATTATGCTGCTTATCAAAATTGCAAAAGTTATTACTGCTTCTAATATAGAAAAGTCTCAATACCTTGAAAACATACATATGTCGTAAAGGTAGAATTTTTAACTTTTGAAAAATTGGCCATGAGTGTGTCATTTTACTATTTCTAGTAATTACCCTTATTACGGCTTTCTGCAAAACCATTAAAGGGTAAAGAGTGGAAGCATACGTACCGCCAAAACAGCACAGCCCGTAACCTAACTTAGAACTCACAAGAGCATGATAAATATTTGTTAGAACATTTTTTGGACAAACGTTCCTTAGGAAATAAAACTTACGAAGAACACCAAACATTTCTTGCTTTAATTTACTAATATGCTCCTTCCAAGATAATTTAGTATTAATGATTAACCCAAGGTATTTAATTTTTTCGGTATTTTCAATTTGCAAACAAGAACAATTTAATCTGTTTGTGCAGTTTAAATCATGAAAGTAACACGGACTTTGGAAGATTATGTTTTCTTTAAGAGAAAAAATTTGGTACTTAGTTTTATCACTCAAAACCATATAATTTTTATCGAACCAGTAGCGCAGTAGTTCTAAGTCACATTGCATACTAGCTTGAAGGGATGCGTGTGAATATTCAGAATATGTAAGAGCCAAATCATCAGCGAACGCAGTGATATTACCTAAAAAAATCCCATCACAAAGGTCATTAATATAGATCAAGAATAAGACCGGTCCCAGGACTGAGCCCTGAGGAACCCCATGCTCCAATAAACCTTCCTCACTGAAATAGTTTCCAATTCTAACACATTGCTTTCTTTGAGAGAGGTAACTAGAAAACCATTCATGGGACAACCCTCTAACACCCGCTCGCCACAACTTTTCCAAAAGAATGCGGTGGTCAACCGTATCAAAGGCCTTGGTCATGTCAATATATAGGGCAGCAGTTTTTATACTGATAACATTTTACAACCTTGTCTACGCGACATTTTAACAGGGGGTTCCTTGAAATGTGGACCCACTAGCACGTGCTTGTTCTGCTTGTACGTAAATCCGGCCCTGATCTAAGGAATTGTTGCATCGTAATTAATTTTTAATTTTCCAAATAGTTAGGTACCTATACCTACACTATATAAAAAATTTACGATGTTATCTTTAAAGGAAATATTTTTATTAATTATCCACTCTCTAATATATTCTTTCTTCCACGCTGTTGTAGGAAACTGTCGGGTTTGCCGTGAATGATATTTCGCATTGTCCATAACGATAATCAACCATCTGGTACATATTTTAGCATTTGTTCAAAGTATTCACATCGGCGTTCATGTTCGCGTGGTAGTTGCCCGTTTTTTGGATTCAAATAGGAGCAATAACCCTTTTTTAAGAAGACCCTCAGAATTCCCATCAAAGTCAAATGTGGGTAATTAAGTATAAGCCTTCTCCCTTTTCCCGACGGTGCTTTAATACCTGTGGACCATTCCTCCAACACATCTTGCCGGTTGCTTTGAAAATTTGTGTCTTACCATTAGCACCTACCTTAAAAACCGTATGGCCTTCATTATACACTTCGGTTTTCTTGTATGTGCTGTTTAATTTTTCCAAGATACCTACTGCCTTCTCTAAAAACAATTTCCGGACTGTCCAGTAACAATGATTTTTCTTAAAAAGTGCTCTTCAGTTAGGTATTTATTTATGTGCAGTAGGTATGACCTGTCCAAACAAAACTACAGCATGTTATTCAGATCTGCAGACGAATAGGGTAAGTTTAAGAATAATTCAGTAATGCAGGTTTTTTCACAATGGCTCCTAATAGATTTTACTTGTCGGCAACTAAACAATATTAACAATACTAACAATTTTCATCAGGTATCTGCTTATTTTGACACATTACCTGCGGGGATGCTTATTTTAAATACGTAGGTACTATATATTTTTAATATATAGTAAGTAATTATAATATTAATATTAAACACTGTTTGTGGGTTAAGCTTGGATATCGTCTCCGAGGTCTCGTGGATGGTCCGACGGTTTCTTTCTGTTTTAGATTTACAACTTTAGGTAGGTAGGTACTGGATTCATAATTCTGTAACATCATATTTTGTTCAAATCGTTTGCTTTCCTATTATTACAATGTTTGCCAGAAGATAAAACAAAGACTAGACCTAATAATTTTGTTGTCTAACAATTTTTGAATGTTGTTTTGAAATTTCTCCTTTTAAATTGGGCTTGGTAGTTTTTATTATGAAAAATACCATTGTATCTTTTATATAATTTGCAATTGAAATGTTAGTCATGTTCATCATCAAATTATATAGGTATATTTGTTATCTATTTATTCGTTTGTTAAATGTCTTATACTTACTGCAGATTTATTTATTTATTTACATATTATACAGGGTGGCCATTTGAAAACGAAACAGAGCCTGTTTTGGGAACCTCAAAACATTTACGAAAAAATCCTCG